AGAGAGAGAGAGAGAGAGAGAACACTAGAGGTCTTTATAGAGTGGGTAGGAGAGGAGAGAGCACGGAGGACATCTTGGAGAAGAGGGGTTGTACTGTCTACTGAGATCATCCTGGAGAAGGGGATATTGGAACTCAAGGAGGCTTTGCAGATGTGAGACACTAGAGGCCCCATGAGCAGAGCCAAGGGACAAAGCTACCAGTGTAGGGAGTTTCATGTGAGACAAGCTGAGGAAATTCAGAGAGACAAGGCAGAGGAGGAACAGGTAAGGAGTGATAAAGACATGTTATTGATAGGGTTACTGCTTGGGGGGTGGGGTGCAGATGATTGGAGCTAGAACAAGCTGGGGATCTAACCAGTTGGGGGATCCTAGCTGAGGACCCAGCCAAGGTGACACGTGGAACATAGACTTCAGAGCCGTCTCATGCCAGGGGCAGGGAGTGGATGGAGCTCCTGGTGGTTTTGGTTCTCAGCCTGCCCTGCCCATGGGCAGAGTGTGATTTAATGGCCAGGGAGCTTTCAGGCAGAAATGTTGATGTAGCTGCTAGAATCAGGGCAGAGATTGCAAAGCGGTGAGGCCTGGGGGTGGGGGCCAGCACTGACCTACCCACCCCAACATGGAGTGGCCATTGTTTCCCTAGCATAGGGAAACGTAAGCTTGGAGCAGAAGTTCAGTGTGTTCACCGATCCTGAACGTTTGCCGGGGAAGAGGGCAAAGGTTGTCTGAGAATTTGACCAGGGAGTCTGGATTGGAAGAGTGGCCTGGGAATCATCGTCCCAGATTTAGAGAAAGAAATGTCAGCCTTCTCAACTTTCCATCCCCTGAACAGCCTTACTTAATTTAACTCTCAGCAAGGAGACCAGCTTCCTTTCTGGTCTTGTATCCCCTAGCTCTGGCCGGGCGATCTCTCTGCCACAGGTTTGCTCTCTGGGCAGGGCCTGGCTTATGCGAGAACTTTGTGCCTTATGCCTGCCTGGTCTCCCATTTCTTTTGTGGCTGAGGCAGGGAGCTCTCGTGGAACCTCTCATGCTAAGACTTCTGGGTAGTGACTGCATTGGCTGCTCCTGGCTACAGTGGGGACAAGGCTCTGTGCTTGATGATTGAAGTCTGCTCCAGGCACAGGTGAAAGGAACAGGCTCAGGCGGGTCACACGCTTGCCTTCCCTGCACAGATGACCTCCAAGGAGTCTTTTGATGCGGGAGCTCCAAGAGTCCCCTGTCCCTTAAAAGTCTGCTGTTGACTGCCAACTTGGGGACAGTTCATAGTGCGTGTTTTATTACCAGATGGGTAAGAAATGGGGTCTGGAGGACTGGTAGTGGAACGTGATGCGCCCCCCGCCCCCAGCCTGCTCTTGGAGGCCGGAGTGATGGATGTTTTCATCCCAGCTCTCCAGAACAGAAACTCCTCTCCTTAGAGACTGTGTGTCCCTTGACGAGTGACTCAATCTCTCTGAGCTTTAGTTTCCTCCCTGGAAAAGGGATTAGTTGTTATGGTCATTACAGGGATTACCTGGGTGAGCATGTCAGAGTTTCAGGAGAGTGTCTGGAAGGTAGCAGCAGTTGATAACTTTTGACACCTTTGCTCCTCATCCTGGAGGAGCCCAAGGGAGAGGCCTCACCTGGTGCTCCTTTTCCAGGGCCACTATCCAGGCGACATCTGGGACTATGTCCCTAGCCTTGTCCCAGTTCCTCCCGGATGTTAGCGAAACCTGAGGTGTCCAGAGCTTTGGAGACTGACATGGGATGTCCTGCTCCATCCGGAGGTACCTCCCAGTGACTCCCAGGCCCCACCCTAGGCTAGGTGGCAGCTCTTTTCACTCAGAGCTCCAGTCCTGGCCCTCCCTGGCCAGTGCTCCAAGCTTACTGGATGCCGAGAGGCTGTGCCTGCAGATGCCAGGGCAAGAATCTGGCCCAGGACAGGTCATTTCTTCCTGCGGGTTCTGTGGCCTCTCCTACCCACTGTGCCTGGTCTCATTTTGAGCGCTGTCCAATTTCGACTCTCCTTGTCTTCTGGTTCAGGTACTGTATTCCACTGAGCCTCCTCGTTCCCTCCTGGCAGTGTTCAGAACTGCCACTGGCCAGCTTAGGCCTTGCTAACGTGGTCCTCAGTGTTGGCTTGAGCATTGTTTTCTCCTTTGGCTTCCGTTTCCCCACCTCTAAAGTGGGGTGCTGGCCTCTTTTCTTGCTTAGACCTCTTCAAGTGAAACAAATCTCATTGATTTTCTTTCCCGGTCTCATGACATGCCCATTGAGCAAGAGCCTGCCAGCTTGCATGACCCCAGCGGAGGCTCTGCCTCATATTTCTTAGAGATCTTTAGTACATTCTTGTTGTCTAAGCCTTGGTGTGGGGGTCTCCTCTTGACCTTTGGCCTTCTGTGGCACTAATTCCTGCTTCTGGGTCCTCCTTTTGCGTCTGTCCTCACCATCCCCCACATGAGGGTCTTCCACGTCCTAGGGCTCTGTCTGCTTCTATTGCTCGCGTACATTCTCTGGGTGTTTGGGGACAAGGGACTTTGCTCATCATCGGTTTCTGGCTCAAGGTACAGAACAGGCATACACTTGATGAAGTTGATTTTCTCTGTGGTTTGGGTGGAATATCAGCAGAAGTGGGAGTTTCCAGGTCTGTGATGCTGCCTAGATGATTCCAGAAGTGGCTGCCACACTCTCAGCTCCATGGGGCTGGCCAGATGGAAGGCTGCCTTCCTGGATCAGGCTTCTGGATGGAGCTCCCCAGTCTTTGATGCCTGTGATTCTGTTCCCTGCAGGTCAGCTGCTGCTCATAGTGGGAGCCAGAGCCGCCATGACCCGCTGGACATCCCTCAAGGCCTCTAGGTCACACAAGCCTAGCTCCTGGGATCTGGTAGCCTCCCCCCGGCGTCTGAGTACCCCAACCTTGACCACCTTACCCTGGAAGGCTCAGAAATCTGGGGCTGAGCTGTCTTCCCAGTGTGATCCCCAGGGTCCTCAGCCCCGCCAACCCTCTGCCTCCTGGCCCAGACAGAAACAGCATCCACCATTACAGCCACAAGCCTCAGCTACACAGACCCATGGTGAGGTGGTCAACTGACGTAGCCGTAGGGGAGGATGTCAGAATGAGGACCGATGGTCCTGTAGAGCCTAAGGTCACATGGCAGGAAACTGTGTTAGACATGAGGTTTGGATCTCAGCTCTCCTGCTTACTGCCCATATATCTTGGTTGGGAGTTCCTTTCCTCTTTGAACCCCCTATGACTGTTACAGGAAGACTCGAGGGTTTTGGATGTGTTTCTCCCCATCTTAGTAGGCTTTCTGTGGTTCTTAGGCTTCATGGCCCTGTCTGTGTCTGCCAGGCTTCAGGGACTCAGCAGCACTGTGGCTTACGGCACAGACTTGGGGAGTGCTTCCCAATCTGGCTGGTCTAATGGTCTCCACCCATACCACAGTGTTGGTAGCAGAGTCTTCAGGCTGTGTCCCTCTGAGCCTCTGATGTAGATGTGGCCAGGGATTGTGTTGTCCAGATAGGGCTGAATTCTAGCATTGCTATCTGTGCCTACAGGCACAATGGGGGAGTGTCTTCCTGTTCTCAGCCCTCTTGTCTGAAAAAAATGGGCAGATCTACTACCTTCAAGAGTCCAAGGGCAGGAAGCTCTGATAGCATCTAGCCTGCCCTAGGTGCCCAGCTACCATGGGATCTTCTTCTAGGATCTCTTTGTCTTCCTAGTGACATCAGGTGATTGAGGGCTCCAAGGCTTTGTTGGGCTCTTGTCCAGCTCATCAATGTTCTGCTACACCAGAGGACACCCACTTTCTGCTCAGCCCAGCTGAGACAGGCTAGCGTCTCCAGGGGCAGGCAGTGCTACAATACCTGGCTTAGCCTGCCACTGGTTCTCATGAATCAATAGGGTTGTACAAAGCCTGGGTTTGTTCTGCTGGCCATGGTCCCGTTCTTCAGGCCTTCTCTGAGAAGAATGTGAGCTAGGCTGGCCTGGAGATACGGTGCTCCCTACAGGAGACCAAAAGTGGTAATGGAAGCAGGTGACAAGTGTGAGGTCTCTGGACCTGTAGTCCTCAGCAGAGGCGGGGGAGTTGCCTGTTCTGAAGTTAGGGAAACCTTAAGAGACCCAATTTGGATGTCTACTCTTATATCATATGACCCCATGATGGAAAAATCATGGGTGTAGCCTATGGGTGCTTAGTGGATGCTGTGGACTTCGTGAAGACAGGCAAAGTGAACATAGAATATCAGACACGATGAGGCCTGGCCTTGGCAGACCTGTTCTAGACCTGGGGTAAGACAGTGAGGGACATAAATGACCAGTGTGTGTGAGGGAAAGAAAGGCCAATGTCACAGCTATTATGGTTGCTGCTATTGCTGCTCTACACGAGGATCCGTGCTGGGTGGGGTGTGCAGTGTGTGGGTCAGAGCCAAGTGCATCTCTTCTGGGGCATGGGGAGGCCTGCCCTGGCAACATGGGGGCACAGTCTGATGTACAGCAGCACTGATCTGGGAGGGTGTTTGCCTGGGGGAGGGGGGGCAGGTGGGGGAATAGCATGCACACACACGTGTGCACATATGTGTGTGTGTATGTGTGTGTGGGTAGTGTGCGTGTGTGTTCAACCAGGCAACAAAGCTATGGGACTACCTTACAGGCCTTGCAGCTGTGAGTAGAGGAAGGGTGGGATCTAACTTGGTCCCTTTCAGGGACTGGGAGTAAGGGAGACAAAGTGAGGCTGGTGAGGTGGCCCCTGCCTTGGTCTAGGCTGGAGGTGACCAGGACTTAGGCTATGAGGGTGAGAGAAATATAAATATGTTTGAAAGCAGAGCCCAAGATTTCTGGCTAGAGCGGCACTGCTGGGAGCCAGGGGAGCCTGTTTTCCAAGCTGAGAAGGTGGATTTGAGGAGCAGGCTTTGAGTGGGAGGGAAGACGGGATCTGTGCTGACTAAACGGGGGCTTTGTCTGCCAGTTACCGTCATGGGCCCTGACTGCCTGCCCAGACAGACCTACTGTCCTCTCTTTTGCAGAAGTGCCCCTGCCTGCAGTCAGCCTGGGGGCAGGCCAGGGTCCACCAGACCCCGGGATGACCGCAGCCAGCCGGGCCAACCCCTACAGCATTGTCTCATCAGAGGAGGACGGACTGCACCTGGTTACCATGTCCGGCGCCAACGGTTTCGGCAATGGCAAGGTGCACACACGGCGCCGGTGCCGCAACCGCTTTGTCAAGAAGAACGGCCAGTGCAACATCGAATTCGCCAACATGGATGAGAAGTCACAGCGCTACCTGGCTGACATGTTTACCACGTGCGTGGATATCCGCTGGCGCTACATGCTGCTCATCTTCTCCCTGGCCTTCCTTGCTTCCTGGTTGCTGTTCGGCATCATCTTCTGGGTCATTGCTGTCGCCCATGGAGACCTGGAGCCAGCCGAGGGCCGTGGCCGTACACCCTGTGTGCTGCAGGTCCACGGCTTCATGGCAGCCTTTCTCTTCTCCATCGAGACACAGACCACCATTGGCTACGGGCTCCGCTGTGTGACTGAGGAGTGCCCGGTGGCTGTCTTCATGGTGGTGGCACAGTCCATTGTAGGCTGCATCATTGACTCCTTCATGATTGGTGCCATCATGGCCAAGATGGCCCGGCCCAAGAAGCGAGCGCAGACTTTGCTTTTCAGCCACAACGCTGTCGTGGCTCTGCGTGACGGCAAGCTCTGCCTGATGTGGCGCGTGGGCAACCTTCGCAAGAGCCACATCGTAGAGGCCCACGTGAGGGCTCAGCTCATCAAGCCCAGGGTCACGGAGGAGGGTGAGTACATCCCGCTAGACCAGATGGACATTGACGTGGGCTTTGATAAGGGCCTGGACCGCATCTTCCTGGTATCACCCATCACAATCTTGCATGAGATTGATGAGGCCAGCCCTCTGTTCGGCATTAGCCGTCAGGACCTCGAGACAGACGACTTTGAGATTGTCGTCATCCTAGAAGGCATGGTAGAGGCTACGGCCATGACCACGCAGGCTCGCAGTTCCTACCTGGCTAATGAGATCCTGTGGGGCCACCGCTTTGAGCCAGTGCTCTTTGAGGAGAAGAACCAGTACAAGATTGACTACTCACACTTCCACAAGACCTATGAGGTGCCCTCTACTCCCCGCTGCAGCGCCAAGGACCTGGTGGAGAACAAGTTCCTCTTGCCCAGTGCCAACTCCTTCTGCTATGAGAACGAGCTGGCCTTCCTGAGCCGAGATGAGGAGGATGAGGTGGCGACAGACCGGGATGGCCGCAGCCCTCAGCCGGAGCATGACTTTGACCGACTGCAGGCTGGCAGTGGTGCCCTTGAGCAGCGGTCCTACAGACGGGAGTCAGAGATTTGAGTGCTCTTGACTTGGGTGCAGCACCGCCCTGACCACAATAGGTCCCAGGTCCCTTGGGGACCTGGGTTTGAGCAGAGCAAGCCAAATCCTCGGGCCACAAACTCTGTAGCATCTTAGTCTTTCCATGTTTTTTCCGCAATAGCCTGGGGAAGTTGGTGAGAGAGCGGGTGACCAGAATGAATGGCCCGTGGCCTCATGTATATTTATGGGCAAGGAGGTGGTGACCTCTTGGGGTAAGGGGAACAGCAGGAGTGGAGGACTCTTCTGGAGGCCTCAGAAGCAGCTCAGGAGAGGTCCCAGCCCTGATGGAGAAAGTTGTGTGTGCACACCTCATTGGTTTTTAACTTGGATAAGACTGTTTACAAAAACAAAAAACAAAACAAAAAAAACCCCTGCGAAACACAAGAAAACACTAACAAGTGGTTGCATTTTTTAAAATCCATGGTGTGGGGACAGTTAGAATTCTACTACCAGCTGCCAGGCAAGCAGCTGGATGGAGAGACCAGAAGGTTCTCGGAGTTCTGGTGTCTCCCTCACGTGTCCTGCTTAAGGGTGAATCAGGCTTGTGACCATGTTAACGATTCTAATAAAGTGTCTCGATGTCTCTGGGGGTGGGGGCCCACTAGGATGAATCTGGCTTGATCATTTGTGTTTGCCTTTGTACCTCAGCTGGATCAGGGCTGGGTTTAGGACCCAAGGGAGGCCCCCTTCCGTGCCCCTGTTCCTCACTCCCTGTCTGCCCGAGGTTTCCACCCCTTGCGGTGAGGGCCGGTAGGAAACACCAGAGTGGGTGCTTCTTAGGAAAGGACACTCAGGAAATTAGCATGGGGTCTGGTTCCCACATTCCCAGAAAGTGGATCAGCCCCACCCCCGTAGGACTCACAGTTTGAGTTGTGCCTTAGACACTCTGGTTGTCTGGCTTCCGTCTTTTTGGTTTTATCAGACTTGTCCAATCCTTCCCTGCTGCCCCTGACTCCGCTCCTGACGCCCAGAAAGCCCCCCCCCCCCCCCACCGAGGGTGCAGGCTGCACCCCTCCTGTCTCACAGCCACCACGTCCCTACCTGCTTTTCTCCCACACTCCTGGGGCGCCATGAGGTAGCCCAGCTGGCCCCAGCCAGTCATCTGCTGCTAGAAGGCAGAGTCCAGGAAAGGAGAGGAGAGGAGCACCCCTTCCCTGTCCCCATCCTGCCCCTGCCACCATAGAAATGACCAGAGAAATGTCATAAAACAATTTCTGTGTAGCCTTTAGGGGCCTGTGATGGAGCTTTCCCTCCCCGAGGTCCCAAACCGTGAAGTCTTCCCATCATGCCCAGTTAGGGAGACCTGAGGTGGGCTTGCTCCCAGGCATCTAGCTTAAGAGTTCATGCTATGTTCTAGCCTAGGAGTCTGCCTAGGACTTGCTGCAGAGGCCTCAGCTCCTTTGTGTTCTTGGCCTGGCCTCTGCCCTCACATCTCACTGAGTTTTCTAGCTTTGGCCCTGAGGCCTGAGGGTGCATTCTGTGTGGGGGTGCTTGGCTCTCACCCACCTCTGTGCAGTTGTCAGACTGCGGGAGGGAAGAAGGGGAAATCCTGGGCCCTGGGTACCACTGTGGGAGCCTAAGCACCTTTCTGAGTAGGTGGGCCTGCATCCAGAGCAAGGTCTGGGGGCTCCTGGTCCTTCAAGGCCTGCTCCCAGCTCATCTCAGTGGCCTGAAACATTCAGCACTCTGGCCCATCCTCCTCCCAGGCCCAGGTCTGCCAGAATGGTCCAGTCCCTGGGCCCTGCTGGAGAGCAGCTCAAGCTGCCTTTCATCTCTGCCAAAGGCAGGCGGATCCTGTATTTTCAAATTCTCCTGCCCTCTTTTTTTTCCTCTTTCCCTGTATTTATTTATTGCTTGTGCTAAAGACCAAACTAGCCCCTCTTTTTAGTGCATCTAATGGGGGAGGCCACTGAGGGGAGCGTGTGCCTGTGCCAAGCAGGAAAGCTTGGCCCCTGGGGAGTGCGTGAGGAAGGAAGCTGGGTGTGCGTGCCTGCATGTACAGATGTGCTCACATGATTGCCTCCCTGTGTGTGAGTCTTGGTATACTGATATATGTTATACACAGGTGTTTATGTGCAGGTAGTTCGTGTGTGTCTGCTTTTTTTATACGGGTATGGTGGGTCTGGTGCTCACTAACCTGAACTGGTCAGGTTGGGTGCTGGCCACAGACACAATCACAGTCCGACGTGAGTCCCTGCCCTGCCCTAGTTATGCAGGCTGTACACAGTGTGCAGCAGTCTGAGGAGTCCGGTGGTAAGCTTCTGCACCAGGTCCTGATGGAGGCCATGCGTGCATCTGTGCATGTGAACATGTGTGAGTGTGTGAAGGTCCCAGGGTGCGTGTATGTGAATGTCAGTGGGGTGGGTGCTGTGTGCAGCGTGTGAGAGCTGCATAGAACGACGCAGCTGCCCTGAGCCCATGCTGGTGCTGTGCCACCTGGTCCTTGTCCAGCTGAGGGCCTGGGGGCAGAAGGACACACCACAGGGAGGCCCCTGTATGGGTGTCTGCCCTGTGTGAGGTCATAGAATGTTAAATCTATTTTAAATGGTGAAACTGGAGAATTTTCATGTTATTTTCAATACATAGCGGTATCTAAAGATGTAGGCAACGAGACTAGACCACATTAAATGCATTTTGATCTCTTTGAGTGCTACTGTGTTGAGATGTGTGTCTCATTGTCCTCTGCCTGCCTCTGCCACATGCCGGGCATTCGCACGTCCTCTGGCCCCTGCAGGCTGGACCATAGCACTCCCTGGGGCGGAAGCTCATCTTCAGGGACAGAGTAGGACATGGCAGCAACATTGCTAAGAGACAGCATGGCCTCTGCTCAGACCCCAGGTTAGGATTCCAGCCTTTGCCATGGACACTCCCCACCCCCTCCACACAGTAGTGCCTCTCTGCCTCATTCTTTGGCTCTTACTGCCCTGCCCTCCTTCCTTTCACACAGGAAGCATCTATCACTACAGGTGTGTCCTGGACCCTCCCAGAGCTCCATCAGATAGAGGTTGCCTGGCCCTGAGATGGGCAACCATGTTTCCTTTGCAGAAGGGAGAGGAGAACCGTGGACTGAAAGAAGCCCTTCCCCAGCACAAGTCAAACTGGTGACACCTGAGGCCAGGGTGAGGCTGGAGCTGAGAACGGAGTGCAGACAAATGCTCTTGGTAGGACCTGTGTCGGTTTGTTTTCTGGAGATTGATGTCATTGTGCCCAGGGCTCAGACCCTGGGATCTCCATGACCAAAGCCTGTGCAGGAGGAATCCCTTCCTTTGTCCAGCTTTCTTCTACGAGTGGACAGATCTCTAACCCTCTGCCCCAGCACAGACCCAGGGGCTCCTCATCCCGCAGATGTAGGTGGTTCCAGATGAGCAAAAAAGGAGCGCTGTGTTCTCTAGCCCCTGGTATGGTGGTCTAGGGGAGTTCCAGCAGTGTTTTCCTATAGTGGGGTCTGCAGGAGTGGGGGGGGGGCTCTTCAGCTCCTCGCTTGGTCTGGTAAGGCGCATAGCCCTGCAGCTCTTCTAGGATTCTTCCACCACGATCTAAGCCAGCTGGGGCCCAAGTGTTGTGACCTCATTTTTGCACACAAGCCTCCCCTCCAGCACTGACCAGCAGGTCTAGGCCCTGCCTGTGGCTACACTTGACAGTTGGTCCTGGTCGCTACATACCACTTGCCTTTGGTGTCCTCCGAGTTTACAGTTTCTCAGCACCCCCTCTCCTGGCTTAGGTCAGATTTCAGGCCACTCGATTGCCAGGGCACTTATGTACCTGCTGTCTCTCCATCAGTTAAGATGGTACTGCTAATGGCTAGCTTGCAGACATACTGAAAGCGTTGGGAGGTAGGAAGAACCATTGTGTAACATTAAGTTTTGTGATTTATGCTGGGGCTCTGGGCCCTGTGCTCAGTATACTTGAGAGCAGGTATGACAGCTGTGCCTGAGTGGTCACGGGACAGCTCCCTTTCCTGCCCTATCCGGGATGAAATGGATCCCCTGGGAATTTGCATTCAGACAGGTGAGACTGCTGTAGCTGGCACTTGGTCACGACGGGGGACAGAGTGCCTACTAAATTCAAATGCAGTGCCTGGAAGTCTCTGTTGACGCTAGCCATGCCCTGGCAGGCCAACCAAGAGGCATCATTTCTCTGCGTTAGAGGAAGTTTGTCAAGAGGACTAGGACTTGACCAAGATCATCGAAGGTCAGTGATTTGAGATGGGATCTAGCTAAGCCTAAGGCCCAAGCCGTCTTCTTGTTGGGTCAATCAACCCAGACACTCCACACTCGGCCTGCTGGTGGCAAGGGCAGAGGCCAGAGTGCCTGTCAGCCAACGAACAGCCTGGTGAGTAGTCTGCTCTTCTCATCCTGTCTACTGTGGTGGAGGTCCCTGCTCTCGAGGGAACTGTGCATGGTGCCTCCTCAGCACAAAGGGCCACACTAGAGCCTCTCATGTATTCCTTAACAACAAAGCCCCCAAGGACTCTCCATTCCACTGTGATACCACAGTCCCAACATGGTCGCCCCGCTTTCTACCACACTGAATGTAAACTCTCAATTGGTCCCCACTACCCCATCCTCCATGGCCCCTACTTCCTGCTCCCACTTAGTTCTCCCTCCATCTCCTGCCCAACTTTCCCAGACTTCCCACCTCCCTTTGGTTTCTCAGACCTTTGCATGAACTGCTTCCTTTCCAGACTGCTTTTTAAAACACTTCAAAATTATATTTCTTTATGTATTTGTGTGTGTGTGTGTGTGTGTGTGTGTGTGTGCATGCACTTTCCACCGTGTATGTGTGGAGGTCAAAGGACAACTTGAAAGGTCAATTCTTTCCTTCTGTCATGTCGGTTCAGGAGATCAAGCCCAGGTTGTCGGGGCTGGTGGGAAGTGTCTTGGCTGGTCCCCATCTCTCATCCTGGCAAGTAAATGAAGTTCCTCCCCCTTTTTCCGAGCAGGTGTGATAGACAGTGGGACCTCCCTCTCTAGCAGCTCCATTCAGCCATCTTGCCCTGTGTTACTGGGAAGACCATGGTTCCTGCCTTCTGGTTCTTAGTCTAGAGACGGACTCAGAAGGGACTTGAGGATTAGTTTATGAGCATTTGAGAGGATAACAACAGGGTAGGCAAGGTGTAAATGCCAAAAGCTTCCAGCAGAAGGGAGAAGGAGCAAAAGGCACGCTGTGTAAATGAGGGTCGCTTGTTCAGTGGAGGACAGCAGGGAGCAGTCACATGGTGGATAAGCAGGTGCATGATGGGAAAGGGGTTGGGGAAGAGCGTCCCAGAATGAGTGAGAAGGTCTAGGGAGTCAGGAAAAGCACTGGCAGGCTTTGCCCATTATCTGAGAGAAAGAGATCGAAGAGAAGGGAAAGTAAATTGTGCTTTTCTGAGTAACCCTAAAACGTTGGTGGGCTCCATGGCGCTACGGGGTGGAAGCTCTGTGAGGAGGAACCCCCACTCAGAGGAGGAACCCCCACTCAGGGAGGGGTTCCTGGGAGGGACACATATGTGATCTCGTTAAGGGGATAATTGGTTCTTTCTTCCTCTTAGGTGTCTTCAGGTGAACCAGATTTCTTGGGGTGAGGCTGGGTGGATACCTGCTTAGGTGATTAACAAGCCCAGCTGGATTGACTCCTAGGGGAGAAAACTATACTATATAGTGTTTGGGGAAGCTTAGATTGCCAGGTCCCCACACTAGGCCAGAGGTAGAATTTAGATTCTATTCTGACCAGGAGATAAGAGTTTTGCCTCAATGGGCCTCAACAAAATCCAAATATGTCCACCTTTTTGTATGGTAGTTTAAATCCTAAAAGGTGGCAAAGACCATGTTTACCTTTCTGAGTTACCAGAGAAATGGGATATGGGTCCTAAAGTAGACCATGATGAGGTGGGGTTCATCCTCAATGGCCTCTGAGGATGTTAACCCTATAGTACCCGGGCTGTTCACTGGTCTCCCTGGGTCCCTGGGGCCAGGAAAGGGTACAGTGCACCTCTACATGTAAGTGAGTGGACGGATTGTGAGGCCTACAGGCTTCCTTCCCATCTACAGAGAGGGCTCTGCAGCCCCTCTTGTGGCCCAGCCAGGACAAAGCCTGGCCACCAGTCACCAGAGAAGGAGTGGTCTTGCCCAAGGCCAGAGGTGGCTGAAATCTGAAGCCAGAACCTGAGGTTAGGGTTGGGATGGAATGGGTGGGCTTTGTGTTGGGGGAATTTGGACTTAGGACATCTATGGACTCCTGACCTATCATCTTCCTTAGGAAATGCAGAAGGGGCTCGCTTTAGGCTGGCGAGGACTCAGAAGCCCAGATTCTGGGCTCAGTCCTGTCGTCTGCCTGCCACTCTGGGCACCGTCCTCTCTATACAAGAAGTGAAGAGCCCTGGTCATCCTTCCCACAAGTGTTTGTAAGCTGCCACCCTCTGTCGGGAAGCAAGCCAGGTCCAGCTCCTGCTGTCCAGAGCATTCCATTCATGAGACCTAGGAGGCAGATGCTGCACTAGAGTCCTGGTCCAAGTCCCCTAGAAGTGAGGATTCTGACTAAGGGAGTCATCTCCACAAAAGGGAAAGGGGGACACACCAGATTGTCAGGAAGGCACAAGGGCCCCAGAGGGCCCTATTAGGACCTCATGGATATTGTATCATGGCATCATCCCATAGAGCCTCGTGCGTACCATGAGGGCACTCCATGAGCCTCCATCAATGCTATGTAGAACACAGGATGCTGAGGGCAACATGCTGGGCCCAGCCTTCATCCCCACCACTCAGCCCTACACACACACACACACACACACACACACACACACACACACACCATGGTTGCTTTGGCCTCTGTGCTTGAGAGCAGGAACTTCTTCCTACTCATGGCTGTGCCTCAGCACTCAGAAAAGCAGGCCCCTTTCACCTGGAAGGTGCCCTATCAGAGACAGAAAACAACCACAGGAGAGAAGTGGTGGGCTGAGGTGAGCTCCTATGATGGGGGTGGGGAGGGCCAAGAGGATCTTGTGAAGCTGGTCCCAGGGGAGCAGGGGAGCAGCTGCACAGTCAACGCTAGACCCAGTTTAGGAACTCACTGCTGAACGCTTTAGAAATGTCCTGTGCCCTGTGCCATCCTTTTGGAATAACACTTTGAAACACATTACGTCAAAGAGTACGCAGGCTTTCAAGGGAAACCCACGTTAGTGGAACACGTTTTTAGCATCTGATGAATACGTTTGCAGTGAACTGCATTTTGTCACTAACCGTTGGTCAGCAAGGCCTTCCTCAGTGGCAAACACAGCCTCCCTTCTGAAGCATCCCAAGACGGCCCAGGGCATCTGTGTGCCTTCTGCTCGGTGGCTGACAGAATTGTAGGTATCCTGGCCGTCAGTGCCTCTGTCTCATGCCCCAGCCAAGCCAGCGAGTGAGCTTCTCTCTGCCTCTGTCTTCTTCTTTGTGAAGTGCAGCTGATGATCAGAACACAGCCTGTGAAGACCTCACGAGGGACCTGCCCTGACTCAGAGACCCTGCTGGTAACTGTGTCCAGCACCCAGAGGACGGCATTAAGCACAGGCTCCAATGTCGCTGGCAGGGTGGATTCGAGCTGGTGTGCAGTGAGTTTGAGGAGCAGAGAGAAGGCCAGCTGACCTGAACTACTCAGAGCCAGCCGTGCAGTCCAGACTAGGAGGCAG